CAACTAATAGCTGAGCTCTATGAATTAATTTAGTTTGAATAACTCTAAGTAAATAATCTTTTAAAATTGGATCGTTTGTTTTGTTATAAAAATTATCAATAATAAAGTCGCATGACGCGATAAAACTATTAAGTAAATTAACGTCACCATCATAGTAAGGGATGGTATTAACGTACATTTTCAGCATATTTAAATCGGTTCTCTCTGCAGTAGCTCCGGTAGCTGCAGCTGCAGATGGATTGTTCATATTTAAATTGGTATCTAATTCTGTCATTAAATATTAAATATATTTTTTATTAATTTATCTTTCGCTCCTTCGAGTTCTATTAAATATAAACTTAAAATTAACTTTCCTATACGGGGAAAAATGGGAAAACAGGAATACTAGGACTTACTACTTAGATCTTTGTTGTCCTGCTGGGTGATTCTGCACTGGGTCTCAATTCTTGTGTTTTGAAGTCTTCTTTTTGAATGTTCAAGCCTTTTCGAGTCAAACCCTTCGAAAAACTAGTCTATAAGTAGTCCATAGGAAGTGTCACTTTTTTCTGCGCCAAACCCACACGAAAAACTTATAGTTCGTAGATAGTCCTTAGGAAGTGCTCAGGTAGTTGAACTCACTTTTAAAGTCTCCAAATTAAACTAAGTTCGATTGTGGCTAAATCCACGTTCACTACGCGAAATCGGTCCGATACCGTGATTTTTTCGGTAATAAACTGCACACAATCCTACCGACTGCGCCAATTAAAATAATTAATTTGATAGATTGGTTTTTAAAAACAATCTTTATTAATTATACGAGGTTTACAATCGACAAGCAAGATACAGAATGAATTAAACTAAACTAAAATGTAATAATCATGAACATTAGAGATAAGAGATAATTCAAAGAAATGAAATATAATCTTCGTACACCTTGTACATGGTCATCAAATACGTGCATATAACTCAGACAAGCCCTTTTCATGTAATCATGCCTTGAACATTAAACTGTTTTTACGATTTCACTTTTTAATAATATATATGTATATATATTGTAATGGTTCAGTATTTTAATACGTTTTACAAATTTATTTTTAAATAAGTTTGGAATTTCTAAATTGTGCTGTAAAATAAAAAAAAAATCTTTGCAAAAGAGGTAACAAAACGGCCGAAGAGGTAAAGAAATTATAAAGTTTCCTGGAAGACCGGAATTTTGCCTGAGATGGGAAAAATTCTGTTGGCCAGATGAGGCGAAAACAAGATCGAAAACTGGTAGAGGGGGGCAAAGAGAGTAGCAGAAAGTTTTCCGAAGTCTTAGAGAACGCATCGTTTTCGTGAATCTTTGCTAAAACCATAATTATTGTAAAATTCTGTGTAAACAATTGTTACGAGTGTTTGTGTATTCTCCCAGGTTAGTTCATAATTTTAATAGCCCAATTATGTAGTAAAGTCCACTAAACGTAGAACGATTTTGATTTAAATAAACTGAGCATTAGTTATTTTGCACTACTACGTTTAGTGAATTTTACTCGTTATTAACACCTTTTGTTTTAGCTATTTTTATAGAATGTTTTACCTTTTAAGTTTACTGCTAAATGTAAAAATTTATATTCCTTTCGTTTATTGTCTTAGGCTTAATTTAGTTGTATACTACTCAAATGTTTAGACCCTTCCTCAACACGATTATGCATATTTTTGCGGTAATTTTAAAACAAATATCAGTGTAATACAGGACGTTTCGTTGCTTAAAAGGGAGTATTGACCGTTAATTTTAAACTTTGAATGCTCCTTTTTCTTAGTACGTAGTTTGCAGTAGATACTAAAATACTCTCCTCCGTGAGGGGTAACTGGTCACCTAGGTTCTCTAGGTGGCATCGCAACTTTTACCCCGAAACTGCATCTTTACGCGAGTTGTTTCCAGTGCGGACCTCGTTCTCCACAGGGCAACGTTAACGTTGACAGACTAGCAGTTAACTGCCCTGTTAAACTAACAAAGTTTTTCCTATTTTTTTGAACCCGTAGGGGTAGATAGTGTAACGAGCGTCGTGTCATTCCATTTGATTTGCATAAACTTTTTAAGAAACCATGCCTAATCGTGTAATCCTTTGCTACTTCATAGCCGAACAGGGTTTTTTCTCAAGCTCTTTTTCCCTGGTCGTATCTCCCTAAGAGCCACCCCTTGTGTTTTTTTTTGTTTGTAAAGTAAATTAAATTGGGGTAAACAAAACACGGTATTTTATTTTTTTGTATACCTAAGTCTCCCAAGTATGATTCTTAAAGCAATGTATTTAATAAAACACGTAAGTAAACACAACGTAGAGGTCCAAATTTTGATAAGACGATCACGAGCCATAGTCACAAAATAGTTCATTTATTAATTTTTCATAAAACTTGTTTTACGAACCTGGTGTAAGGAGAAATCTTTACAATATATATATGTTATATCATCCACAAACACCTTATCAGCAAGTACAAAGATAACACCAACATTCCATATTTCTCATATTACCAAGAGATACACCAAGAAGCGGCGATCCCACGGAGTCAGCAAAATAATATTTAGTATAAAAACAAAATGTAACACATAAATAAATTCATTATATTTTAACTAAGCTTACTAGAACTTTAATGTATCGTAATAAATAAAAATCTTTTTTTTAAAGTAAAATTTAATTAAGTGAAGATAACATATATATACAATGTATATTATACATATACATTAGGGTGTCCCTTATTTTTATTTTTTTTACGCATACCCTCTAATTATATTTATTACTTGTTTATATACTCCCAGTAAAAATTTCAGCTCATTCTATAAACGGGAACCCGTGCCGACTTGCATCTGAACCCTCCGTTAGCCAACGTTAGGCGCGCGGTATTTTGTAACACGGTTGGTCACGAGGTCTTCGATCGTAAGTCATTTTGTGTTTATTATTATGTGACCATTATATTATAAATTATTGACAAATGTTAAAATATAATTTTATTTATGTGTATACTTTGATAAAAATGTATATTTTCACAGGGAGTGGCTAGTTACCCGGAAGGGGCTGGTGAATAGGCCGTAAACTCTAAAATTGAAAAACCTAATGGGTTTTACTCTAAATAACTAAAAGAGTCTATTGTGAGAGATAACTACCGAAAACTTATTGAGATAAGCTAATGCAGGACTTTCACGGTTTGTTAACCGCCGATGAAGAGCAGAAACAATTCCTTCTGCGTTGCGTGCAACAGCACAGAAATCTATATCCTAATTGTAAAAAAAAACACTTTAAAAAGAAGATATACTTCATGACTGCATTTTTCTGATGATTTTATGAAATTTGATTACTAATTAATATTATTGCTTTTGTTTCTATCATTTGTTTCACTAATTTAGTTGATTTTATCCCTTAAATATATTAATATACTAATTAGTATTGCTAAAATATACTATTATATGAAATTTCAGCTTTTTATAAGCATTTCTTTTCTTGATGTCCTCCCAAAAATATTTCTGACAGTTCAATAAGTTTTCAGTAGTCATCTCTCAAAATAGACTATTTTAGGTATTTAGAGTAAAACCCATTAGGTTTTTCAATTTTAGAGTTTACGGCCTATTCACCAGCCCCTTCCAGGTAACTAGCCACTCCCTGTAAAAATATACATTTTTATCGAAGTATACACATAAATAAAACTATATTTTAACATTTGTCAATAATTTATAATATAAGGGTCACATAATAACAAACAAAAAATGACTTACGATCGAACCTCGCGACCAACCGTGTTACAAAATACCGCGCGCCTAACGTTGGCTAACGGAGGGTTCAGATTCAAGTCGGCACGGGTTCCCGTTTATATAATGAGCTGAAATTTTTAATGGGAGTATATAAACACGTAATAAATATAATTAGAGGGTATGCGTGAAAAAATAAAAAATAAGGGACACCCTAATATACATATAGGTTGAAACAGTTGCCTGTCAGTACTTGGAGTGGAATACGTTCAAAACATAACTGTGGCGGGTTGTTGTTTCAATTCTTTTACTTTGAAACTGTCAAAATTGAAATAATCATTTCAAAACTTTAACTGTATTAACCCGTCACGAGGCAAAAACGGCTTGGTAAGATCTATAACAATTATATTCTTTATTACACGCGGGAATAACTAAAGTTTATTAATCATAAATTGTTAGAAAATAGATTACAAAACTTTGTATAAAACATGTTAATATAAAAGGTCCATCACAAGTTATCATCATTATATCAATTTTATTTATTATACTTTGCACAGTCTATCATTTAAAATGCATTTTCTCCACTTTGTCTAAATGGACAAAGCGGGTTTTTCCTCGTAGTCTTAAAATATGAAAAGTAATTTGATTTACATCTCTTCAAAGATTTCTCAAACTAATACATAAAGTATTTCAGAAAGTAGGGCCCCACATTTGGTTTTGCCCTGGGGCCCCACAATGTCAAGCTCCGGCCCTTGTCGAAGGTATACTCATGAACAATGGGATGTCAACTTTTTGACATAACGCTTTTGAGTCAAAAACGGTTATTACTTAATGGAGAACCCGCATTGTCACCCAATTTCATTAAATTTATTATTTTTTATCGAAAAAACTGAGTTGGGTTAAATTCAAACTCCTAGAAATGGCGGGAAAAAATTATGACGTCATTTGGCTACCACAGCTGTGTTGTTGATTTTTTAATACATTTTTTAGGCGTTTCAATTTTTTAATACATTTTGATAAGAAAATTATCAAAGGCCCCACATAAGTTTTATGTTAATGCAATTACATTAACATAAAAACAATATTTTATTCTTAACACTTATTATGACAAATTGATTAAATTCATATTTATATATTTTTAATTTAAATCAAGTGATTTCAATTCAACTTAATATTTATTTTAATAATGCGCAGCGCGCCACATATACGTTTTGACTAAGAAGATGTCATGTCAAGAATTTGACACCTAGTTTTTTATTTTTTTAAATGTGACTATAATAAATAATAATCTACAATAATTTACCTTCTACATCTTCATTAGAAGAAAGTGCATCTTCATTTGTGTTAGAATTGTTTTCCTCTAGTATATTCAGGTGTGTTCGTCTGCTTAAGGTCAAATTGAGACTTCTTCGGGATACAATTTGTCTTTGAGTCTGTTCAAAGTCATCATCTAGTATATCTGGGTGTGTTTGTCTGCTTAAGGACATATTGAGACTTCTTCGGGGTACAATTTGTCTTTCATTTGGTTCAAAGTCATCGTCTAGTATATCTGGGTGTGTTTGACTGCTTAAGGACAAATTGAGACTTCTTCGGGGTACAATTTGTCTTTCATTTGGTGCAAAATCATTGTCTAAGAAATATATATAAAAATTAAATTTACTCATAGCTTTAGATTTTAATACCTGTCATGTTTGTTGATCTAGAATTATTTCCATTATGTTCTTCAATAATAGGAAGATCATTTGGAAAATCTTTTCTGGGTATCACAATGATCATTCCGCTACTAAGGACTCCTTCTAAGTCATCGTCATCCGAATATTCCAACCTTTTAAGATGTTTTTGGCGGTCACATCGAGCTAAATCAAAACCAACCATTTCTATCATGTTTTTTATATGTGGTAAAAGTAAATTTAAAATTTCATCTTTTAATTGATTCCAAGACCACGTTCTATTTATTGTTAATTGTTGTGGAAGTACCCCTAAAACTTAAATGATAAAAATTGTTTCTTTAAATTTCTTTTTTTTTTACCTAAACCTCGTTTGCTTAAATATTTTTGTTCATAAGGGGCTGGTAAAAAGACAACATTACATAGCCTTGATACAAATAGTTTTCTTTGAAAATTGTTTTTGCGTTTTTGTCCCCTCTTACTTGATGACTGTAATTGAATAGATTGCTGCCGACGACGAGGTCTGAAGGACGCCCGAGTGGCGGCTAAGATACCAGGGAAAGACCGCTCTTCTGTAGTTGGTGTGGAAGCAACAGCCATTGCTGTTTGAATTATTCGTCCCGCAATTTCATCTGAGGTCATTTTGCAGCCAAAACATTCACAAATGTTGCTTACTTTAGTTAAAGCCCTTGATCAATTGCTACAAAGATGTTTTTGTTTTATAAATTTTAAATTTAACCATTTAACGTTTATCTCAGCATTTAACTAATGGTAGGTAAGTACTTACCTTCAGAAAAAAAATCCGAAAAGTCACAACACAACTACCTACGTAAAATTCCAACCGCCTTGACTATTAAATTAGTATTTTTATGAAAATAGTCACATTCAATCGCGATATTATAATATAATCACCTAATAAATTACAACGAGAACTTATAGTTTTAACGGGTTTCCCTCCCATTCAGTGTTGCCAACAAATTTAGATAAAAATTTCCTGTGAAGTCCATAGATTAATAACCACTGGCAGATTTAAATCCAAGGGAATTTTTAAATTAGTTTAAAGTCTTATTAAAGAAAGCTACACAGAAAACGTAAATTTCAAAATAAACCAATAAAAATAATCAAAAAAAAGTAGGTATAATACGTAGGAGCGAAAGTGAAACCGGCAACGCCGACAGGAATAGTCACGTTGGTACTACCAACTATGCAGATAAATTTCCATATACCTTTAACTTATAGTTATAGGTATATGGTTTTTATTAATTATGTTTTTTTGTTTGAGAAATTTTTACAGAATTTAAAACATCTACACCGGAATTTAATTTTTACAAATATGGCAATGTCGCATTATACTTAATATTTTGTTGGATCCCCTATTCCATTTGGCTTTCAGGATTTTGATTCATATATCCTTTTTCTATGCTTTTTTCAATGCCTTTCGACAAACACCCTGTATTAATAACGTACCTTAAAACGATATGTAAATTCGATACTTGAAATAATAGAATCATTTGCAATTGACTGACACATCTCTATTTCCACTGCGCCATCTAGCCGAAGTTAGTAGAGGTTTCCACACTTGGAATTAAAATGATTGACTAGACAGAAAAATTCGAATTAAAAATATCAAATAGACAGGAAAATGCTAATTAAAAATATCAACTAGACAGAAAAATTCGAATTAAAAAATCAAATAGACAGAAAAATTCGGATTAAAAAATATCAACTAGACAGTAAAATTCGAATTAAAATGAATGACTGGACAGAAAAATTCGAATTAAAATGATTGACTAGACAGAAAAATTCGAATTAAAAATATCAACTAGACAGAAAAATTCGAATTAAAAAAATCAACTAGACAGAAAAATTTGAATTAAAAATATCAGTGACAGAAAAATTTAACAAACGTTTTTATTTCATTGAATTTAAAATGTTACTGTGATATTTTTAATTGGGGTAGAATTATAAAAATCACATTAACCTCTAAAATAAAATGAATTAAAATGTTTAAATGACAAAAAAATGCAAAGCATATTTTTAATTCAATGCAATTAAAATGTCGTTATGATATTTTTAATTCATGTCGAATTACACGTATTAGATGACGTTTAAAATGAATTCAATTAAAATGACTACTTGACGAAAAAATATTTAGATTTTTTGAATTGGTTTGATTTAAAATGAGTACTTAATGCTTTTTATTTGATTTTATATGTCTTGCAGACATATACATTTCGCGATTAAAAAATGCAACGGCGTTCCATAAGCAGTGGTTCAATACATATTACATCACTGTATGGTACACAAATTAAAACATCTGTATTTTGTTTATTTTTTTTTATATAAATTACTACTTTCATCGTAATAAATTGTAACTTTAGATCCAAAAAAATATAAATCATTAAATTTGTTATTAATAAGCATAAAATGTATAAGACATAATTCATAAAATCCATATTTGTTTTTATTATAGCATATATTCATATTCTTTTTATAACAAATACTTTTAAAAACCACACGTTTACTAATATAAAGTTCTTTTTTTATAAAAACACATTTTTCCAATATAATTTCATTTATTTGACTTGAAAAATCCTGTTCATTATACTATTTTTGAACATTTTCTGCTTTTATTTTAACATTGTATAAAGCCATAAAAGATTGTCCACTATTTTGTAGTTGATGTTTATTTGATAGAGAAAAAAGAATATTTTTAAAATTTGGAAAATGCCTAATAACTTTTTTAAAAAAACCGTGCTTACTTTCAAATCTCATAGTCCACAAGTTTCTTAATGGCCCGAACTGTTTTATTAAATATGGATAATGCATAATAAAATGATGTTTGGGTTTTAGGTTATTATCAGGAAATAATAAGTTATATTCAAATATTAAATTTTTTAAAACAGCTAATTGATCTTCAGATAACCTAAACGCCATTATAATATTACAAATTTTTCTCAAACAAATGAATAACCTCCAATATTCATTATCACACAAATAATCCTGATAATCAAAAAGAGCAAATGGCAGTACATTAATTAAATATAATATTTGAGTTGCGCTACCAGGAATTTTTTTACATTCTTTAGTTATCTCAGGTAAGGATAACCTCTCGGATTTATCCAAAAAAATAATAGTTTGTAGTTTATTATTTAAAATGCTGTAACTAAAATGTTTATAACCTAAAATTAACTTTTTTAAAACAAAGTGACTAGGTGCACGTTAGAGTGCCCGCAATTTATATTTTACGGGCACGCTAGTGACGTCATAATAATAATCCGGTTTTGTTCCCCGAACTTATAATATTTGTTGTCAAGCTAGATAGCTTAGATGGTAGGGCGGTTGCTTGGCAAGATCGACCAGGCGCTCGCCGTAGCGGGGGAGTTGCCGTCCTGGTACACAAGGAAGTTCCTCACACTAAAATCAATAACTTAAACTCATCTTTAGAACATATCATCATTAAAATTAATAATATACATATCATTGCTGCCTATAATTCACCACTCAACCATTTTTCACAATTAGATTTAGATATTTTGCTGTCATTTCACAAATGCCTTCTCGTTGGCGACCTGAACGCAACCAGCCCCGTCTGGAATTGTAACAGGACCAACGAGAACGGCCGCACGGTCAATGATTATATCGCTAATAGCGATTGTTTACTAGCCTATCCGAGTACACCGACGCATTACCCCAGTAACGGACAGACGCCATCGACATTAGATATTGCCATCAGCAAAGACGTGACTATACCTGATGAGCCCATAACAGTTCATGAGCTGGACTCGGATCACATTCCGGTCCTTATGCAGTTACAAACCACTATTCCACCAACACCGCCACCTAGGCCCACTTTTAATTATGCCAAAACGGATTGGCAAAAATACCGTAACATAATTAATGACACCATCGTTATTAACAATAACATCGACAGTGTGGCTAAAATCGACTCGGCCGTAGCTGACCTAACAGCTGCAATGTTAAAAGCACGTGACAAAACCACAAAAATTGTCAAAACCAAGCCCGCAATCGATGAAATACCTGCAGAACTAGTCGAGAAAATTCGTGATAAGAACAAACTAAAGCGTCTCTACGACATTCATAGAAGAGACGGCTATAAGCTTGCGTACAACCAGCTTAGAAACGAAATAAAGCGTGATCTGCAGGCTCATCGTGACCGGGTTTGGGGAGACACAGTTAGGAACCTTAAGGCAGCCGACAATAGTCTCTGGCGATTGGCGCGTAAGTTAAAACCAAGAAGCCAATGCTTTCCTACAATTATAACCGGTAATAACCATCACGTTACAAACGCCGAAAAAGCGGAGGCTATTGCCGGCTGTTTCTACGAGATCACAAACACCAATAATCACAATCCCACACCAGAACAAGCCAACATTGTTCAAATTGCTAACAACTTTTATGATAATTTACACCATATCACCTCACCAGCCCTGCCAAAATCAAAGACATTATACGTAGACTGGCCAACAACAAGGCACCCGGCGTGGACAGTATTGACAATGTTCTGATTAAAAATCTTCCCCGTAAAGCCATTGTCAGCCTAATGTACATCGTGAATGCTATCATCAAACTCTCATATTTTCCTAAAGCTTGGAAACATGCTATTATTGTACCAATCCCCAAGCCAGGCAAGGATCACTCCCTGCCCGCCAGCTATCGACCTATCTCCCTAGTAAGCAACCTTTCTAAGGTTGCTGAACGGGCGATACTAAACATCATAAACATGGTAGATAATGAGAGACAGATAACTCCACCGGAACAATTTGGGTTCCGGCGCGGCTTAAGTACCGTCCACCAAGCCGTGCGTATAGTCCATGATGTAAAGCAGGCCTATAACAGCGGCAAGAACACTGTTATGGCCCTGCTGGACGTTGAAAAAGCTTTCGACACGGTCTGGCTGGACGGAATGATAGCCAAACTACTTGAGTTCAGAGTACCTAACAACACCATTAAGTTAATCTCGTCTTTCCTGACCGACCGGACTTTTCAGGTTAGTGTCGGCCAGGTGAAATCTACCATGTTTGAGATAAGAGCTGGCGTTCCACAGGGCACGGTCCTTGCCCCGCGCCTCTACACGATGTACACGGCTGACATTCCGCATTCTCAACATGTGAAAATCGGCCTTTTTGCCGATGACACTGCAGTCTACGCTCAATCCTTCCACTCTCAAGTGGCGGCCAACCAGATTAAAATCTATTTCAACACCTTGCTTAAGTACTTTGAGAAGTGGAGGATTGGCGTAAACCATAGCAAAACAGAGTTGGTGAACTTTACTGTCAAGTTCACTAACAACAAGATTTTTACACCAATAGTCATGAACAACGCTCCAATACTGCCCACGCCGACTGCCAAGTACCTTGGTATCACTTTCGACAGTAGGCTAACGTTCTGCCAGCATATACAGTCAGTAAAAGGTAAATTTTACGCTGCCTTAAAGGCAATTTACCCGCTAATAAGCAGAACGAGCCCGCTGTCGATGGAAAATAAGATCATCCTATACAAAACGTGTTTGAGGCCAGTCATAACGTATGGATGTCCGGTATGGTGCTCGGCATCAAAAACGCAATTATCAGCACTGCAACGATTGCAGAATAAAGCGCTCCGCTACGTTACCAATAGCG